TGTGTCGGGGGCTTACACTCCTGCTCCGGCTTCTGCTTCTGGTTCCCCGGCGGTATGACCGGCGATACCTCCCAAATAACTTTCTCCTCAGCTCCCTCGAAATCTGCTTGACGTGCATGAAATTACAGTACCCACCACGGTTGCAATTGTTTTCTTCATACTGCCTGCAAGTCGCTTCCCGGAAATCCGTCACAGGAGAGAAATCAGCAAGTATAGGACGGCCTGAATAGAATCTCCCTTGCAGAGCCTGCAACGCAGCAGCAGCCTGTTCCTCTTCCTTAAACAGGACATATACATTGCCAATCATGTGATCAGCAAGGTTGTCGCAAACATTGAGACTCTCGATTTCACCAAACTTGTGGAGCTCTTCGAAAATATCTTCATAGAAATCCTCAAAGTGTTCTTGGATCTTATTCGGGTCTAGTGGCTGTCCCTGAGGGTCCACAGACTCCACACCGGGAGTTATCATATCCTGTCTCTGATACATGTTCGAGAGGAGGAGGGTCGGGGAGATGGTGGGACGGTTATGGAGCCGCGAGCATCGGTCACCGTGACGACAAGCACCGATCTTAAAGTAAAACGGGCAATTCACTCTGTCTTTTTCTGTACCAAAGATCGAAGCCAAGTGCTCTGCCATAGCTCAAATCGTTACCTAAACATATAGGTAAAATCAAAGAAAGCTAATGTAAGTGAAACACAAATTGTTAAATCTACGCTCATCAAAGAGTAATCATCATACTCAATGGAAATCACGACACGAAGAAATCAAAAGTATATGCAACGAATCATAAGAAAAGTCACACTACTAGAACGATTGAGACGAGAATCTAAAATCGAAAGCTATAAAGCTTATAACCAAGAATCATCGAGATTCATCGGAATAGTACAGACAATCAAATCCATTGGAAAGAACCAGAATCATTACTCGTTTCAAATCAACCAAGCGACAGAGAAGAAAAGCCCTACGAGCATCTTAATCAGACCCGATTCTAATCAGCGAAAGCAGAAGAGATTAGCACCGCAAAAGGGAGACAGAGATTGATAAGGGTATGAAGAGTACCGAAAAGGAGTAGCTTTCAGTGGAGGGTTTTGTTAAAGAGGAGAAGCTATCTCCGTCAAAGGTCTCGCCGATGAGGAGCTGCAGATTCCGATGAAGATCTAGGGTTAGGATTATTAGTTTCGAGACTCGCGTGAGCCGAAGAGAGAGGTCGGTTCTAAAAGAGTAATATGGGTCGATTTGCAAATAAACTTTTCTCTTGCGGGAAAGGAAAAAAAAACTAAACTGTAATAAATTTGCAAGATTAGTCCTCCCCATAGAAAAAGGAAATTTAAAAAAAAAAAGAATTTTAAGTAGATTATTTATGAATATTTTAACTAATTACCATATTTAAATTTTATTCTAAAATTCATAATTGAATCAAATAAGATTTTTTGTAGATTAATTGGACTAATCAAATTTGGGTCTTATCAAATAATTTATCCAATAAGATTAATTTGGTCTTCACTTAATCTGAAAGACTGGCCCGACTACAGTCTCTAAGCCCAAGCCCATCTACAGAAGTAGATATGGAACTGAGTATTTCGAACCAGTCATCAATTCTTGCAATTACTTTATCAGTTTGTGAAATAATATTGATTGCTCACACAGAAACAATATACGTGGACCTGTTTGGTGAGTCTCTATCAATATACATGTGTATAACAGGTATTATAAAATTACTAATTTGTGGACAAAACCTCACTTATCCACCAACTTATTGACCCACCAACCCCTTGACCAAAAGAACCAAAAAAGAATCCATTAAC